GTCAGCAAGCGATTGCTGATGCGACTTCTCTCCTCTCTGGTCGGCTGGCCCAGTTAGAACCCTGTCCTGGGCAGGCCAGTCTTAAGGAACAATTGAAGATCCGCTGTGATTTGAACCTACCCTGATCTACTAGTGGTAGCTTACGGGCGCGGATGTACAGGTCTTTCCCAATAAATGGCTCCTTGTAAAAACTGTTCTTTTCCTTCGTTTCGCTAAGACAATATACCTGTCAGTTTGGCTATCCTCCACGGACACTGTCTCTTGTATCGAAGGCATCCCGCCCACGTCTTGTTTAATATACGCTTCCAAGTCCTATTTGACTGACATTTGCAAACTGTGCACCGATTGCCCATTTTGTATCGTTAGTATATTCTCACTTTTTGGAAGGCAAATGCACCCTCTGGGAAAAAAAAGTAACTTTATTGCGTAAATTTTCGACGGTTGTTCTCCAAGTCGTCTTCAGACGTGAGTATATTGAGGCTACACAGAATATTCCGCCCCACGCCTCCACGAACATCAACTGGCAGTGCGGAGGCGTGACCACCTGTCCCAAGTGGCTTTGCACAGCCTTGATACAGGAAGCATTTTCGCATGGGACAAAACTTGCATCGTCGGAGTTTGCACTTCCAAAAAAGGCAGAAGATTTTTTGAGCACATGCAATATGATGACTCAGGTCAGTCGGAATATCAAGTTAGATGTCGTGTACAAAGTTCTTAAAGAAAAATGGAAGAGGCCAGAAGCGATCGATACAGATTGACGCAAACTGCAACCTCTAATTCGCGTTCACAGCGGATGAGTATTGATTTTTTCAACCCTTTTGAAGTTTTATTGTTCTTTGCACATTGATTCACGTCTTACGATGACATGAGTAACCAGCGTCGAACATTTACCCTATAAAATTACTTGGTTTCCCCAAAGAAAATACTTGCCTTCAAATTATATCTTTAGGGATGCCTGCCTTCTAATTCTTATTCTTCTGCAGTTTTTAGCAAAGGACTCAATCATCTTTATACTTATACTCGATATTGTTAACATCTTCTCCATGCGAAATGCTGCGTCCTCTTATCGGTCCAACTTACATCGCACAAGTTCTGTCCTCTGCCCGTGTCCTAATTCGATCCCCGATGTTGTGCAGAGCGCAATGTCAGTCTTTTCTTCAAAGACGTCTGTTAACAGTCCAACCACTGTCTAGCAGTATACTTCGGCAAGAAAGGTTGGAATCTCTTCTTAGGAGGCCTCAAATGTCTGATAATTTGAAACAGTTATTGGGCCTTTTGGGGGCGGGATCGGAGACCTGCGATGACATCT